CAAACTATTTGCCCAAGGTCAAATTTAGAGTTAGAATTCAAGTTCCTGAATTATAACAGTGTTCATCTCAGTAACAGATATTTCTTAATCACAGAGCTGAATTCAGTGTCCCACTATTAATAAGTCATTAATTACATTTCCCATTTGAGCATTGTGAGTGGCTCATTCCAGGCAGTGTATATAAATGGGACTCAAAAGTTTTCTTTTCTGAATCATGTCTATATTGAGGCATCCACGGATCCCTGACAGCTGCATGTAGGGTGAGGGGGTGGTTGCCATAGGATATTCAGGAAATGAGTTGGTGCATGGGGGTCAAAGGTAGGCTAACAATGTGCCTGCTGTCTTATCTGGGACAGGTATCCATCCTGCTCTTATAAGAGCTGATGCTGCTCTGAGTGCTGGAGCTGTAGAAACCTGCCCATAATCAGAATAAGGAGTCTTGAAATATGAACTCTTAAAACCATACACAAATTAGAAGCAAAATAATGTAATAATTTAAAAGCTCAAGCACAGTTTTGCCACTAACTGTGTGACTTTAAGGAAATTATTTAATCTAATTTAACCTAAGCTTCAGTTCCTTCATCTACAAAGTGGGGATAATAATTAGAAGGATTAGATGCTGAATATATGATACTTCATATATGATGCTTGAATTTAATACCTACTCAATGGTGGTAACTATCTTTGTAAATATTTTTAAAATAGAAATTTATTTCTAATCCAGGGGTATTGTGAAAATTTTATGAAAGTGAAGCAAAATTTAATGCTTGCATTTTTAAAAGTATTCAGTAATGCCAGGGAATAATATTAGTATAAGTTATACATATGAGAAAGTTCTAAGATGAAGAAATATACATACACATTTCATGAGAAATTGGTTTTCGTCTTATGAATGGATAGCTTTCTTTAATAAGGATTGTCAGTAACATTCATTGATACATTTTTGGGCCAAAGACAGATGACTTCCTTAGTTATTAAGACTTGAACTTATAACAGCCTGGCTTGTTTCTCAGAAAAATTGTTTTCCATAGGGTTTTATTGTTTTGTTAAGTCTTTAAAAAATTTTTCGTTTTCAGGTAGTGTTAGATCTGGCTAGTGGCTTAAGTTGTATAATTATGTTAGCATTCCATCTTCTGGGGCACATCTGGTATGTTTATTCACACTTGTAGACTTCTCCGACAACCATTTGGCTTTCTGGGTTCCCTTGAGATATTAACAAACTACCTAAGTCATTTCAACTCACATCCTCAGGAATAGAAGGAGATACAGTGTTTGGTTGAGAATCTTCAACTTGGGAATACCACATTTTCTCTTGATTTATAAGGAGAAGATTTTAATAATAATAAATGATGTAAGATCAAAGATTTCAATACTTTATAAGTTTTGCTTCTCTGTGTTTAGTCTCTGTCTTCATTTGTAAAATATAAATTTTTCACTTCCTTCTGCTTAGGAATAAAGAGACTGTATAAAACTCTAAAGTATTATTTATGATGATGAACCCATTACATTTCAAGGATAATATTTGCTTTCACGTTTAATAGTTGTAAGATTAGAGGAACTGAGAAGCTCCTTAGCCACCAGCATCTCAGGTTGTAGAGGGATGAAGTCTGCACCATTGGAGGTTCAGAATTTTCTGCCCTTGGCCCTCTTGGAGATCAAGGAACAAATACAGTGGGTCATTAGAATAGCTTATTAAAGTATATCAGTAAAATCCCTCCACCTAAGTACAAATCAAGTATTGCTATGAACCTTACCTACTAAAAAGCCTACTTCTTCCTCTAGGAGATAAAGTCTACATTTTTATATGCTAATTATCACATCATCATAATATCAGCTAAAAGCATTTGATAAAAATATTAGTAAAATTTTTATATATGCTGTATAATTTCTGCATCTAGGTGAAGTGAGCGATTTTTGGCAAGTGAGCAATTTTGAATTCATCACTAGTTTTGGATCAACAGTCACATATATGCCTTGGATTACTTTTCTTTTTATTTTCTTGGGCAATGTATGGCAGCTTATTATATAGACCAGGTATTTAATGCATATTTGAAATATTACTAGAAGAAAACAGTTTTTAAATTTTTTATTCATGAAGCATTCATAGAAATATTCTGGTTTTAACTTCACTATTTTCTAAATAAAGCTATAACATTATAGTTACATGATTTGTCTACTAGCTCACAAAACTAAACATGGATTAATTGCAGAATGTGGACTAAAATCATGTATTTTGGTCTTACTGCAGCCTTTGTCGTTGATGTTATTATATGGCCAATTGTTCTCAAATATTAGGATGCTATTATAGCAGTCACAATATAGGTTGAAAAATCTGAAAATCTGAGATCCAAAATCTAAAACTGTTGAGTGCTAACATGAAACTCAAAGGAAATGCTTATTAGAGCCTTTTGGAATGTGGATTTTCAGATTTGGGATGTTCAACTACTAAGTATAAGAATAATGAAAATATTTCAAAATCCAAAAAAATTTTTACATCTGAAGCACTTCTGGTCCCAAGAATTTCAGATAAGGGATACTTACTCTTGTATTACTAGGCAAAATACAATTGAACTTTCTAAAAATGATAAAATTTGGAAATGTCTTTCCTACCTGTGATTCTTAGAAGGGAAAACATACAGATGCTTAATAAAATAGATGGAGCGTGTGTTAAAATTCGAATATCATAGCACTAAATCTAAATTTGTATGTAATTTTTAATTAATTTTATTGTTTAAATTTTATAACATCTTAGATTATTATAGACTTAATTATGAAACACTCCTGATGAATAGGGCTTTTAAAAAGTTGAATATTTACTGATCTTTAAAATGATAGAATAGACATTGTGAATGTATGGAAAAGAATACACACTTTTCCTGATGCTAAAATATGTATTTTAACTGTCTAGCACAAGGCTTACTGTGCTAGAGTAAGGCTTACTGTACTGAGACATGTTTTTAAAGGATCTATTTCTTTGCCTATGTTAAGCAAGATCATGTGTAAGCAATACAGGATTCTCAGAAACATCACCTATAATATTATCCTCTGTTAGTCACTTGTTTTATAATCTCTAAGCTTGATGTTACAAACGGTTGACCTCCCACTAAATCCATAAAGGCAAACATAAAAATAGAAGCAGAACAATGTTAATATTATCAGAATAAATATTTAACTACATGTTTAGAAATAATTACTTTGAATGTTTATTTAATAACTCTTAGGGCATACTCCAACAATAAATTAATAAATTATTTTCCCCTAGTCCATTGTGGGAGATAATCTTTTAAAAGTACTACAATGGAATTATAAAAGTAATGTAATTGGAATAATTTTCAAGAGAGGTCTTCTGTTGCTTGAGTGGAAATTAGGGAAATTAGGAAAGAAGAAGAAGAGATGTTATATTGTTTGCCGTATAATACTGCATATAATATTCTTTGATTAAATACAGTTTAAAGACTACATTACAAAATTTTGGTTTAAAGATCTCTGAAGTTCCTTAAGAACATGATTGCACTACACTGTAATACACAAGAAAGCTGATCCAAGTGAAAAACTTTTAGCTGTATCTTTGTTTATCTATGGGTCTTATTCCCAGTAAGGTTGTAAGGATTTCTGTTAAAACTTTCACTCTCCTAAAAATATTGAAATTTACATAAATTATTTTTGTTTTTATTTGTTTCTCTGTATTTACTGCTTATTGTAGAAACTGAACAGGAAATAATGTCGATACTCAGTTTTTCACATTTTTAATCGCTGAGGGTAATCTTATTTTACTGAATTAATTATGAACTTAACTTTGTGTTGTAAGGCCTACAGGATGTCTTCTCCTAGCTGAGAAGAGAGAGATCTAGACTAAATGAAGGTCGAAACAAAAAGTCTGACTTCAATTTACCAAGTTTTGTTGTATTCTCATCATGTGTACTGTCACTACAGTGACCTGCCTTAAAATATATATATGCATTTTAAGCTATCATGCAAGCTAATTATAGTGCTGATGATATTATTAATAATATGCTTGTATATGCCAGACACTGTGCATATATGGTATAATATTATCTTCTCAACAACCCCATTTTATAGAGGAAGAAATTGTATTTCTGATCAGTTTAAGAAAGTTGTTCAAGGGCTGTCAAAGCTGGTAATCAGCGGGTCTGGCTCTGTCTCAGATATGTCCTACTCCATTGCCTGTGCTGTTAACTTCCTTTCTCAATCTACCTTCCACTTTTATAGAGTGGGAAATGTGGAATAAAAAAAAAAATTATGTTGATCATTATACCTGCCTTTATTTATAGCCAACATTTTAAAACATTTGCTCTCCTGATTTTTGAACCCTTGCTTGTGCTCATTGTTAATTTAGTAGATGGAAGGATGACCAGAGCCATATGTTTTGCAAGGAGCATAATTTTTTGTCCCCACAGTCTGCTTCACTCCCCACTGTTCTTGAATAGGAGAATAAAAGAAGTGTTAGGATGGATTTTCAAAGTTACTAAACCATTTTAGTAATTGCAGGGGAAAATAGCATTTTTAAGAAAATATGTTTGTTTAAACAATGTAATTTAATGGTCAGGGTATTGGCTTATGAGTTGGACAACAAAATTATCTTCGAAAAATCAATGTACCACTTTATTCCTTAATTATTAAATTAGGATATTATTTACTGTTTATATTCTTCATGAGAAAATTGTGAAAAATATAGCTACTCCAATCAAGTGTTTTATATCATGTAAACAGCCAGTTATATGAATGACAGTTTTTAAATTATTGCTATAAAATTATTTTATTTTTTAGAAAAGTCTTATTTAGCATTTCTGAAAGATGGCTAGATGGTAGCACTATTATTGCATGAAGAGCCTTGCCTGCATTTAAGTCTTTCAAATAAATATCTGTTCTGAAGACGAAACATTTTGTGTAAGGAAAAATATATTTTCTACTTTTGGAATTGTGATTTCTCATATTGGTGTTACATTATTTTCTTAATGTTACCATAATTACTTTTTTAGTGTATTTTGGGATCTCTACTGTGCAGCTCCAGAGAGACGTGAAACATGTGAACACTCAAGTGAAGCAAAAGCCTTCCATGATTATGTAAGTTAACATATAATTTTACAAAGTTACATTGTCAGTTTTCTTCTTAACCACTGCTCTTAAAAATACCTTGGCTCGTCCATTCTTTTGTTTTGGTACTTAAGAGATTGGTTGGTCTTTTCTTTTTCTTGAAAAGTAGGCTCATAACTTTAAATGTGAAATAGAAAGGGGCGTTTGAGTCTTGTTGAAGCTTAGGATAAAGCATAGGCCTAATGCTAAGCTATTAAAGAAATTTCTTATCTTTAAGCAGGTCTGATTTGTGAAATTTCAGATTTTATGAAAATTAAATATATAGTAATTCTTTATTCTACAAAAACACTAATCATAAGATTTCTATAAATGATCAATTTCTCCCTTGCACAAAAGACTTTTGATTAAGTATAAAAATATTCTGTTCTTCTCCTTTTGTAACTTTTGGTTGTATATCATAAGGCTAAATATCTTCGCTACTGAATTCACTTCCCCAAATATTGTAGATTCAAGGAAATACCAGACAAGAGAGTAGAAGATTCTGTGCAAAAATGAAAACATAAACTTTTTAAATCTTAAGGAACAGCAGTGGAGTGTCCTTGGCTTGAGCATTTTTTTTTTTTTTTTAGAAGGACTGCAAATCTGATTTTAGAGAGCTGATAGTATCAGGAAGTAGAACTGTGAAAAAAAAGAAAAACAGTGAAGATAAGAATGAGGAAATGGTATTATGAAGGGGCTGGGAAAACGTGTTCGCAGAATTAACCATAAAAGAGGGACAGACTGAGTTTAAGATGGAGGAAATCCAGTTTTCCTGGTTGGGAGGAAGTGAATTGGGGCTGGAGCCTGAGGAAATATCCGATAACCTAAAACTTAGCCATAGGGATATTTGTCAAGTATGTAGAGGCTAGCATCGTTCTGTTTAAAAAGCCTTAAAAACTAGAACCAGCACTCAAAAGGGAAAAAAGACCTTGTTCTTCCAAGAAAAATAATTCAGCCTTAGACTGAAGAGTAGAAATGTCCAGAAGAATTATACCCTCCAAAATAGTATGAGGAAGAGCATGCAGACGTAAGGGTTGGCTACCTGGCAGGGACTGTGCAGTTCTTTAAATGTGTACTCATCTTACTTAAGTGAGAGTGCTTATGATTACCTCATCTGACATTGATTGTACACAGAAAGCTTGATATGCACTGAACAATAGCTGTTGGGAACAAGGTGAGTGAAAGGGATACTACTGCAAATAAGAAGTCGAGAAAAAACAGATAAGGCGGGGCCCAGGTCATAGGATTTATCTAAACAAACCAATTTTCCTTTTTTACCCTCAGTTGACAGTAGAAAGTAAAGCAGAGATCCACCTATGAAGAATATGAGGAATCAGATAGAGTTGGGGTACCCCATCTCATCTATTCCTTACACTGAGAGATGCCTGCCTCTATTTGGCCTGTTGGTCATGGGAGATGTTGTCTCCACTAATTTTGACAACTAGATGGCATTAGAGGTTGCCAGTGTTCTACTCTTAAAGAAGATATAATATTTGATAGCCTACATTTTAAGAAATTAATCATATAAATACTTGATGAAAATTACATTCTGTAGAAAGATGTACCTTGCTATTCAACATGGAGATCTTAAGAGAAAAACTGAACTAATTTATCAGCTCTTTCTAAAAGCATTAGATAAATCATCATCATTGTTGTCATAATCACTTTCATCATCATCATCTTGCATTCATAAGACACTTCGAAAATTTCCAAGTATTCACACTTATAGCTTTAGAAATACACTTAAATAGGTTTTGGAAATGAGGACTAGCTAGAGGTAGGAGCAAAATTAGAATAGATTTTAAAGGAAGAAAAACCCCTTACCATGTAATTTGGTTCTTAGAAAATAGAGTTTAGAAAAAAATCAGTATTTGAATTTTATAATTCTTTATGAATATTAGTACATTGTATCAGAGGTTTAATTTTAACTTAAATATTAGTTTTAAGAGACTTGATTTATTCTCATATGGCATTTTTATTACATCTTAAAGCCAATTTACTTTCATGGTAATACATCTCTGATTTGTTTTCTAATTGGAGATTGGTGAAAGATGGATTTTGACCTACATGATTTTATATTACAGTTGGATTTTTAAAAATACTTTAATTTCTTTTATGAAGACATCTTTTTTTAAATGAATAGGATTTTCTAAATTCTTAATGGTAGATAATTTCTGAAAATGATTGACAAATTTATTTCTAACATGTAAATACAGTAGTTTGAAAGACTTGGGAAAGAAAATGTAAAATTCTGGACTGTTATATTCCTGAATTTGAGTTTATTACATAATTCTATAATGGTAATTAATATGTTTACCTACTGAATTTTAAGGTAGTTCTCAAGGAAGCATTCTGAAAAATACTTTCTTCAATGGCTGCGTTTTTAGTGTTAAAAATGCTCACATGCGTGTATAAATGTTTAAAATTAGTCTTATTTTATAGTTACTTATCTATAAGATTGAGTGAATAATGACAGATAAGCTACTTTTTAAAAGAAATACTGGAGGCATAATGAGATAAATAATGAATAATTCTGTTAATTTAAAATAGGCGAAAATGTTAAAATGACTATTTTTTGATAGTGGAATAATGTATGATTTTTACTTTTGTCTGTATATATTACTGTATTTTCCAAATATCTGCAATTATTAATTATTTCATATTCAGGAAAGTTACTTTAAAACAGATTAAATTTCACCTTTCAGTGAGTTCTAATTGCTCTTCTGAGATTGGAAAATAAAAAAACTTGATGAAATAAAATTTAAATTTACCATGTTACATGCACAGGCATTTAGCATTTCTTATGAAAGACATCTGTTGTTTTTTGTATGTGCACATATTGAGAGACATCCATAAACTGAATAGTTGTAATTTTGAGCCATTCTAAAATTTATTTTTAACCACATTACTGAGGTATGATTGACATACAAAAAGCTGTACATATGTAATGTATAAACTTGATGTGTTTGAAGATTAGTATGCACTCATGAAACCATCATCACAACCAATGCCATAAGCTGATCTGTCACCTCCAAAAGTTCTTCTCCCCTTTTTGCTTTATTTTTTCCCTTTTGCGGTAAGACTACATAACGTGAGATATACCCTCTTAAGAAATTTTTAAGTATACAGTACAGTATTGTTAATCATATGCCCTATGTTGTACAATAGATCTCCAGAATTTATTTATCTTGTAAGACTAGATCTTTGTACCCTCTACCAACACCACGCCATTTTTTACCTCCCCTTATTCTGTGTCAACCACAATTCTACTTTCTGCTTCATGAATTGGACTATTTTGGAATCCACATGTAAGTGAAATCATGAAGTATTGGTCTTTCTATAACTGGTTTTTTTCACTTAGCATATCCTCCAGGTTCATCCATGTTGTCACAAATGGCAGGATTTCCTTTGTTTTCTAAGGCTGAGTACATTCCATTGTGGGTATATACCACATTTTCTTTATTCAGTTATCGGTTGATGGACACATAGGTAGATTCCATATATTGGCTATTATGAATAATGTTGCAGTGAACATGAGAATGCAAGTATTTCTTGGAGATTCAGTTTCTTTAAATATACACTATACTCAGAAGGGAGATTGATAGAGCAAATGGTAAAACTATTTTTAATTTTTTGAGGAACCTCTATAATGTTTCCCATAGAGGTTGCACCAGTTTACATTCCTACCAATAGTTTACAAGTGTTCCCTTTTCTCCACATCCTCACAAAAACTCGTCCTTCATTTTGTAATTTTTAATAACCTTTTTTTGTAATTATTATTTTAGAAATACGTTTTGGCTTTTGGTTTTTAAATTTTTTGTTTTGTTTTTTGATCATTGCCTATTAGAATATAGATTTTTGTCACTTTATTATTTTATTTGCCAAATAGTTTTGGATGTAGTGTTAATATCTTTTGTCTTGAAAAATCACACTGTTTTAAGAGAAAAGGGTGGAAAAAAGAGAAGCATTTAAATGAATAAAACCTTGATCTTCTTTAATTCATATTTGAAAATATAGGAACTTATTTAGCATATGTGTTACAATGCTTAATATAAAAGAAAAATACATTTAGAAATGTATTAACAGTTAGTAGTGTGTAGGGATGTGCTTTTGAATGACAACGCTAGACAGTGTACAAGGAAGTGATTACAAGTAATTGGGACGGCCTTATGGAAGGTGCTTCAGAGATGGGTGGCAGAGTTCTGTTTTCCTTGACCAGGGTGATAGTTACAAGTGTGCTTGCTTTATAATATTTTGTAATGCCATAAATTTACTTTATGTATCTTTCTATATTTGTTTTTTAATTTTAAAATAAGATTCTTAAAACATATTTAAGATAATTAACTTTAGAAAAATAATAGGTACAATAGTTTCTAATGCAGTTTCAGGCATTGCTGTGATTCATATTTAAGAACTGGTGGCAGAAAATTTAGTAATGATCTCCAAACAAATCTAGGTTTTGCGGTAGAACAATTAAATTATATTGCCACATATCGAGGAAAGATCTAGCATGGCCCTGTTATTTTTATCCTGAATTAAAACCAGTTTACTCTAAGCTATAAAATTATTATTATATATTGTTATTAAAAATGAAACCATTATATCAAGTGATTAAAAATAATACCTACTAACTTGAAAGTTTATTGCATTAGATTTTATTTTCTCTCTATTAGTATGTTTTATTTTACTTTGAAATCATAAGCAATGTTTTTATCTGTAATTAATGTTTACTAGATGTTTTTTCTGCTACAGCTTAACATAAAATTGTTTAACAATTTATTTCTTATTTCATTTATTTCCAAAATACTTCAGAAAAGTATCAACATATACTACTAAACTTTTAATGAAAATGAAATACAGTGATTATAATTTTAGTTTCTTAGTATGAGTGAAAGATTCCTTAATTGTCCTAAAGCAAAGATAGGGCCAAAATTTTAATTGCTTTAGTGTGATAGTAATGAAATCAAGTTATTAAAATGAGTTGTTTGAGA